AGACAATCCAGGGGGAGGACAAGGAAGTGGAATGAGAGCGGATGAGGCTTTAACAGAGACAAGCGCCGATACCTTTAATGAAAGCATCACTGATGGAGATCGTCTGCTGCCCTCGGTCTTCAGATACCAAAAACTCAGCTGGAATTGGAAAGGAAATGACGTCAGAGGAGGCAGGACAAGTGTCTGCTGCAGGGCAACAGACGACACTCCAGCCTGAGCTCAGACAGCCTTATCACATGCCACCGGCTTGTGAAGGAAACAGCCTTTGGTTTTCAAAAGGGAAAACTCCCTCCCCTCCAGCAGCTCCAGAAGCTCACTCCCACCTCGTACAAAGAGATGTGGGATCACAGCACCAGCTACTCAGCCATGCTCATGAAGCCGATATTCTTTCAAGACACAATTGGATGAGATTCTTGATTCAATTAGCTATGAACTACCCAACAGAATGGCTGAATGGCTCCTCTTGTTAATCTTCCTTATGTAAGGGTGCCTGTAGGACATATAGCACATGCAGTGCTCTCTAAATGACACCAGTGAAAGATTTTAGAAAGAGCAATGTGGTTTCTGTAAAATGTCAAGCAGTGTGGCTCAGAGTTATGAGCTGGACTGGGCAGCACACCGACATCGGGGTACAGTACCTTTCGGCTCCGCAGGGTGGGGGGGGACGTGGGGGTACTTGGAGTGCTTCTTTATGTGGAAGTTGACGTTGTCCAGCTCCACGTTGAGGTTGATAGAGGCAGCAGAGTCACTGTCCACCGCAGAGTGGAAACTGCTGACAGAAGTGCGCTTACTGGGGCTGGCGGAGTCTGAGAGAGAGAGAGAGGGGCCAAGAGTGAGAGAGACACACTCGGGATGAGAATGACGTTTTTTCTAAAGAGATGGCTCATGCCAATCTAGTCTAGAAATATATATTTTTTTTTAAAGATCTGCCACAGAGCAGGCCAACACCACGTACTGGGCAAGATGTCCTCGCCCTCGTCAGCGATCTGCTCCGTGTCGCTGTCGTCGAACTTGATGTCCTTGAACCAGGAGGGCTCGGAGTGGCCTTCCAGGGAGTTCACCGAGTCGCTGTCGGGGGACGGCGTCTCCGAGAACTCCGTGCTCTGGGCGGGAGAGAGGAGGAGCAGTTCAGCGCGGGCCCACAGACAGCCACTGCAGAGGGGTTCGCACTGGGGGCCGGCTGCTCAAGGACTCTCAGCGGTTTGCTTTCAGGCAGAATTTCCCGTTGGTATAAACGCTCTTGGTTCCAGTGAGCCGGGCAGCGGGCGTCCTGCCTCACGCTTGACCCCCGGTCCGCCTCCCGGGAGGACGAGGGGGGCAGTGAGGAACGAAGAGTGGGAATCCCATTCCTCGGGGACAAAGCACTTTAATACCTGTAACCTGCTGCTTGCTGCTCAAATCCCAGCAGCTCAGGCGAAAAAACTCTGAAGACAGGAGCCGCAACCCCGACGATACATTTTTAGTTGTGCAAAAACTGGAAAAGCGAAAAACGTCCGCAGGAACGGATATCAGATATAGTCCTGATTCAGGTGAAGATGCTGTGATAAAGAGCTTCTGAAATCGAGAGCAAGCTGCTCGGCCCACCCTCACCTGCAGGGGGCGGTAGAGCGCGTATTCATCTCTGAAGAGCTGGTCGTGGTGGGTGACGCAGTCCAGCCAGCGGCCGTCCACCAGGGCCTGTCCGATAGCGATGGCCTGGGCCCTGCAGACACAGAGACGGAGGCCTGAGACACAGCCACCACACCTCGCCGCCTGAAACCGCCCACCTGAACCCTGACCCCAGCTCAGCAGGAATCCGTTGAACTAACGGACTCTTTCAATATTTCTCGCCTTAGTTTTCCGGGCTTCTAGTCTGAAGCACTCTTATTCCGGAGCCCAGGAAGAAAAAAACAAAAAAGCCCACCCCAGCACAGCACATCGCTACCAACCTGGTGGAGATGTGGCCGTTTCTGAGCAGCCAGTTAACCAGCTCCTTTCCCACAATGCAGTTGGGGTAGGTGCGCAGCCAGTAGCGGTGATCCTGGAACTCCATGCCCGTGCTGTGGTGACAGATCTTCTTCCACAGGTCTTTCAGCTGGGAGGAGTCCTGAGCGAGACACCAGGCCATCAGACTTTCCCCCCTCCGCTGGAAAACCCCGCGCAGGAGGGACAACCAGCGCTTCCGATGATTTCCGGAGCGAGATATTCGGAAAAACTGCCCGGGTTTAGTCCGATCTCTGCTTAGAGCTTAACACTGCAGTGGAGGCTCTGGGACGTGGGACAGTGTCATAACGAGGGGCATTTACACACCAGACAAGCTTCATCAAGGAGTGAGCGTTCATGATATTTAGTCTGCCTGGCACGGTCGGCACAGAACAATTTGTTTTCGGCCCGTCGACACCCTGGTTTGAAATCAAGAATTCCACTGTCCCGCGGCACTTGTAAACAACGATTTACAGCGCGACGGGCGAAGTGGGGAACAGAGCTCGGGACGCGGGCATCGGGAGCGGAACGGGACAGGGCGGCGGGGCAGACACTCACCAGCAGGATCTTGCGCTCCTCCTCGTTGGCGTCGGGCTTGGCTGGGGCGCGGCTGGCCTGCGGGCTGATGGAGCTGTCGTAGGAGGGCACCATGGAGGAGCCGGAGCGGTCCAGGGAGAGGTTGGTGATGCTGGCCGACCTGTGAAGAGCGGAGTAGGACTCAGAGCGGGTGAGCCGCCATGGCACGCAGCTGGCATAACACTGCTTGTGCCCCCCCAAGCCTCCAGACACCCGCCCCTGGGAGAGGCGCCAGCTGCCCTGAACAAGGCCCCTTATTCACAGGCAGAGGGGGAGAAGTCTGGACTCCAGCTCCCACTGCTTCTGTCTTGTGTCTGAACGCGAGAGAGCATGTGAGCATGTCCGCACTATATTCAGGCTCAGGACTGAGCAAAGGCGGCATCGGTTTTAACAATTAAAACTGGCAACGACAAAAGGCAACTGTGGCAGGTGCAAACAGGACCCAGTCAAACACCAGGTTCAGAGCGCGAGAGCAGTCTTGGGACGAGCCACTGGGAAGTGAACAAGAAAACGCCCCCTTTGAAGTCTCCTACAAATCAAAGGGGGTACGTACCTCTTCCTGGCGGGACTCATGCCCACGTCCTCCTGCACAGAGGCCAGGCGGGTGCTGAGGCTGCTGGGCTGGGAGTCCTGATGGACCAGGCTGGCACGACAGAGAGAGAGAGAGCAGGGACACGGTCAGCGTGGCGAGAGCCCGGATCAAGCGCAGGGCTAAATAAGAACCCCTTGGGCCCGCGCCGACTCAGATCTTTAAAAGAGGGAGCGAGGGGGACGCTCCTGCAACTCATTCCCGGCGCGCGAGGCGCTCTCCCGCGGCCGGCGCACCTCTGCCAGGCCAGGTCCTCCTCCAGGAAGATGTTGCGGCTGGCCTTCCTGCCCCCGACGGGCGTGCGCGGCTCGCTGGGCTCCAGCACGCACACCGACAGCGGCGAGTCCGACAGCGCGCTCAGGTCCTCCCCGATCGAGCCCGAGTCCGCCGAGTGGGCGTAGCTGAGCGCGATCTTGCGGCAGTAGGTGCAAGCGCGCAGGTCCCCTGCGGGCAGGGAGGGGGGGGGGGACAGGGCATCGGGACGTCAGAAACCTTGTGCTCGATTGGGGAACCACCTGCTGCAACGTCCAGAATGCATCACTGCAGTCCAGCTGGAACTTCAATTACTCTAGTAATCCTTGAACGTGGAATGGATCTGGCTGCTGAACATAATTCCTTACTGCTGGGACACTCCACTCGGAGCTCTTTACAGGTCATGGGGCTCCCCTCCACCCCCACCCCCACCAGTGTGCAGCCCCACCTGGATGATGCTCCAGCACTCTCCCCACACACCAGCTCTCAGTGGGGAGGAGAGCAGAGTGATGAAGCCAGTTCAGAGACGGGGATTATTAGGAGGCCATGATGGGTAAAGACCAGGGGGAAATCTGGCCAGGACAAACCTGGCCCTACCCCTGCGGCACCTTTATTACAGTAGTGTCCCCGTCACTATACTGGGGCATTGGGACCCACACAGACCGCAGGGTGAGCGCCCCCTACTGGCTCCACTAACGCCTCTTCCAGCAGCAGCCTCAGCTTCCCCAGGACTTTCCCATCCAGGTACCGGCCAGGCTCCCACCTGCTGAGCTGCGCTGCCGGTACATAAACAACTGAGCACGACTTGGAATAAAGATGTGCGATTGAATCGAAGAGCCCGGCCTGCCTATGCTGCACCTCTGATCCCCAGTACCCTGGGGGTCACAGGTTCAGGCCACAAACCCACACCTGTCCCCTTCCGGTGCGCACAGCAGGCCCCCGGCTCACTCACCGGTGTAGCCCATGAACTTGCCGGGGATCTCCTGGTTACAGCAGCGGCTGCAGAAGATCTGGCCGCACAGCCGGCAGTGGTGGCGGCGGCGGAACGTGGTGAACTTCTCGTTGCAGTCGTAGCACTCCTTGCACTGGCTGTCCGGCATCCAGTACTGCTTCAGATCGCTGTCCTGCGACGTCAAGACAAGGCAAGCCGCGGGTGAGCCCCGCAGGAAGACCTCTGGTCAGCCCCTCGGCC